CACGTTATTGAGGGAAATTAAGACTTGCTGGCAAACATCACAGTGCGCTCCCCACCACACACACACACACACCAGCTGTACCCATAGAGCAGTCTTATGCGTCACGAGTGTGCCTAAGAGTTTTGGAGTGTTTATGCATACCTTCTAGAAGATTCGGGGTGCAGGAGAAATGGAGAATCCACTTAAGAAACTGAAAGATGCATCATTGGGGAGTATTTTTTGTAGATGAACACACACACACACAGAGACATACTAAGAAAAGAAAGGGGAAATACCTGGAAGTAAAATAATTGAAACTCAGGTGTTTCAAGGAAAGTTTGCATGACCTGTATCTTTCCTGTGGATTCTAAGCCAGGAATTACCCACTTTCCCTGTTTTTCCCTTTTGCCTCTTTCTCCTCCTGTTTAACCCCTTCTTCCTGGCTGTTCCGCAACCCCTCTGTCTGGAGAGGTATGCAGTCTTCTTCGCGTCGCCCCGACGGGCTGTGGATCATGTGTGTGTGTGTGTGTGTGAGTGTATTAAAAACTGAAAGCCTTTAGTGGGGAGGAATGGCGGGAGAGGAATGGAAAAATGAGAGCGGGGAAGGGGGAGAGGTAATAATGAATGCCTGGTGGTTGTTAAATGGAAGTAGGTATAATTTGATGTGTGGGGTTTAAAACTAATGAGTGCGCACTACTGGTGACTCCGTGCACTCAAACATCCCATCTGGTATGCCCCCCACCCCCGCTCAAAGTATCTGAGCCGTCCAGTGGAGCGATCCAATCCCCAGTTAAACAGTTGGCTTCTGGAAAAATCTTGTCACATTCACTCCCGCAGAAGCCACCTATGTCCCCTCCCCCCTCCACCCCCCTCTGCCTTGCGGACCCAGGCAGCACCAGCAAAGTCTCGCGCAGAGCTTTGCCCGCCCTCCCCAGATCCCGCCCCGCCCCCCCCCCCGCCGCTAAGGGTCACTTCCCAGTCCCCCCCCCCCGCTCCCCCCTCCCGGCTCTCAGAAATGCGCTTGCCACCTTGATCAGAGCAGTCCGCTGCGGTGTGCAGAGCTCCCACAGACATCCCTGACGACTGTAGCAGTCCGGGTTCCAGAAGGCGGGCGGAACGCGACCCCTTCTCCCATTCCCATCCCCCGCCCCGACCGCAAGCAACCTGGAAGGTGCTCTGGTTCCCAGTCCTTCCTGGGCTGATGCGCTCCAAGGTAAGCTAACATCTTCAGGAAAGGCGTGAGAAATCTGCGAGGGAGCCGCTGCATCTGCGACAGGTACCAGGTAAATTAGGTTAATAAGGCAGCAGACCCACAAGCCTCTCCACCTTCACCTTGGCTCTGACTGCCCACCCAAGGGAAAGGTTTAGGGCAATGGGTACTCTCAGTTCCCCAGGACTCAGTGCATGTCTTCCTTGGGTTACCTGGCTATCCTTAGGAGCTCCGGGAGAATCTCTAGGACTTCCCTCCTTTTTGTCAGTTCATATTCAACAGACACAGTATCAGTCCTGAAAAGTCACTATATCCGTCCCAAATCCCTCTAGAGAACTTAATACCCATTCCATGTACCCCATCTGTGGCTTCCCAGAGTCCAGGGGCTGCTGTCTGTCTGCTTCCATGCCCGCCGTCTCCCGCCACACTTCCACGTTTTAAATTAAAAAAGAAAAAAATGTGTTTGCTTCCACCGAAGTACACACTGATTGACCCCGTCACCTTGGTCTTGGAAAGGCAACGGTCAGCCTTGAAGCTGCTGCCTCGGTAATCGCTTTGCACTCCTCCCACGCTCCTGTCTCCCCAGCCTCCTCCCCACCTGGCTCTCCCTTGCTAAGCTGGGCTGGGTAGGACTCCCCTTTAAGCTGAGGCTCTCAGGAGAAGCATCTCCCCCCACTGGAAGCCCTTGGTTTGAGAATTGGGGAGGGGGCTATAACCTAGGACATAAATAGATGTATGTAGTCCCTTTCTTCTGTCCCAGAGGTAGAAAGGGACACATCTAGGTAATTAGAACTCCCTCTCACCCCGCCCATCTCCCTGGTACTGTTGGAGACGCTGCTTCGCTGGATGGGAGGATGGGGAATAACCAGAGCGGGCATTTTCTGTGCTCGTGGTCTTACATTGACGTGGTTTCTTTGAAGCCACGCCTCCTGAAATTTGAGGAGGGGGCTAATGAGAGTGGATGTGTTCCTCATCACTGCCCTCTTTCGTCTGTTTGGCTAAAGAGAAGTCCTATGTAAAAACGTGATAAACTGTAGTTCTTAAGTCCCATTTCCACCTTTGAGCACAGGGAAAAAAAAAAAAAAAAAACGTGGTTGTGTTCGCTCATTCTATACAGACTCCACCACAACGCAAGGAAAGGGAAAGCGCAACCCTTCTGGTATCCCTGCTTGTAGCGGCCCACCCCTCCTCCAGCAGTTGTCACTCAGAAAAGTCACATGCCGGTCCACAGCCTGGGGGCGGGGGGGGGGGTGGTAATTAGGGGAAGGGATGATGTCTAGGCAAAAGAATATAGTTCTCTATGCTGTCTTCTTATTCCTCGTTGGTGGTTTTGCATTACTGATAGAATCCTATAGTTAATCTTATTCCTAGCCCTGCTTCAACTTGCAAATGTGGGAAGGTCTGGAGAGGGGGAGGGGTCTTTTCAGTGACATGCAAGACTCCTCCACTGCAGGGCAAAGGGAGCAGAACTATAGCTGGAAAATCAAGGTGAGCCTCATAAAGTAATCCAACATCTACATTAGGTGGAGAGACGCAAACCTGACTTATACATACACCACACAGATCATGCAACATCCAGCTTACTAGCTTGTGCAGCAGAGAAACCTACCACATATGCATACACTCTGTGAAAGCATGCCGCAAACATGATGTACGTCTACTGTGTAGCAGCAGATAGACGCCATACAAATGCACACCATGCAAACATACAACAAAACATGTCCCACAAAGACTCACACAACAAATACAACATTGCTCTTAAATATATGTCACATACATATCACAAATGTACACACACCACTCTACATAACGGACACGGCAATGTTCTGTTTGTTCCCTTTTTACGTAAGTCGATTGGTTTAAAATCAATTACCCACAGAAGTGGAATGAGGCATTTTCTACAGTGGAAAAATTGATTATAGTAAATGGTGATGTCAAGAAATAATTGATAAAATTATAATAAGAGTAAAATTGCTGTAAATATTTTATTTGAATAGCATATTTTTATGCATACCCACATCAGTTAATTTAATCCTCACTGTCACCTTGTGAAGTGTATGTTACCTCCTCGGGGAGATTAAGAAAAACAAGGCACAAAAAATGTATTTGTTCAGTCACACTGGGATCTAGTGTCAAGAGCCAGGAGATGGGATGGAAATGGAAACTAGAGATGCACATAATGCATGGAATCTGTTTACATATGAATAAATAATTTTTAAAAAATGGTTTCTAATCTGTTATATGAGAATATTATACACGCACACATACACACGCACTAGTTACTTCATCCTCTTTCTTTTCTCTGTGTATATCAAGGTCCTTTTATTTGAAAAGCAGAGGGACAGAGAAATAGAGGGAAAGATACAGAAAGCTCCTCGGACTAACTCAGTCCCTGTGGAGAGCATTATTTTCTAAAAAGCTAAAGCACCTAAACCATCTGCATTTTACACTACATTGGATTCTTAGCTTGGATCATACTAAAATTTGTTGTTATTAAACTATTCTCTATGATGTAAGCAACATATTTTGTCATCCTTCAAGTCTAATAGCCTAGCTTAATTTCAGAGATTTCTGGTAACACTGATGGATGGATGGATGGATAGATGGATGTATGGATGGATTGACTGTAAGTCTGTATGGATAAATATTGATGAGATAAAATGAGCCACACCTCAAAACAAGTTTGAAAAGAGGTATTGTCTAGGAATCATGTGCATTTATTTGCTAGGTATTATGTGATCATAGAAGATGGTACTCATAGTGGCAAATGTATACTTAAGTATTTAAGAAAATAGTAAAATTTCTCTTAACACCTAAATCTGCAGTGAAAGGGGTTGGAGAGTAAAACGGAAGTTATGCATGCTTCTTCATACTTAAATGATATGGATTACTGGTGGCAGCATTCACTGGGACTATATATTCAAAATGAATGCTACCACAGTGTTTATCTGGGTACAACTCACATTTGTTGATTGTTCTTCACACTGCTTGGCTCAGGGGAAAAGTTCAGTTTTCCTATACAGGTACCTTTCTTGAAAAAAAAATAGATTTTAAGCTTTAGAAAAAAAAAGAGCGAATTAAATTACAGGGATGATAAATTTACTTTTTCAAAATCATTCTCTGCAGATCCCTTTAGCAATATCCTGGTGAGTGCTAATTGGAGATCAGTCATAAACAGAGATTAAGGGTATATCAGAGATTTTGAAAAGTATGCAAAGAACATTCACATTTTTAATTTAAAAAATTGTTAAAATACACCCAAAACATTAATGTACTTTACTACCCCATCCTATTTAACAAGGCTATTCCTTTCCTACTGTATCTGGATCTGAAGACTCACAGCAGAGATGTGGGAAAGCATAGGACCCCTGCCCTTGAGCCTCAACTACAGAGAGATGCTCTTTTCTGACTTAAAAATGATAGAATAATGTCATTCTCAGTCAGATTTAAGCCCCTATAGGGACCTATTTGAATGGAAATCCTCAGCATAATATATCATGGTTATTATTTGCTCCTCCCACGATGATGGCTTGGGAGAAAGTATACTTTAATGACACTTGATAGGTAGTGTATTTAAACTGGACAAAATTTCATGTTCATGAAAGCATATGGAGAAAAGGAAAAAATATCAGTCCTATGAGTAAACTATTGTTCTCATTTGGCTCCACAGGTTCATTCATCTTGCTTCTCTTCTGTAAGAGAAGTGAAGAGTAAGCTCTCGGTTCCTGAAGACCTCACTTTATAACAAGCTCTGAAAGTTTCTGCTTTCACAGTCCCTTAAAGTCTGCTTAATTTTTAACCCTGAGCAAAAATGAATTACTCCTTTAACGAAGCATCCCCTTCCCTATTACAAGCAGAACACGCTGTTGATTGGCTCATTCAAAATTTCACTAAGATGCCACCAATTGAGGATCAAAGCTGGAATGGCACAAATGTAACCGAAGCCAGTGCTGTGAATCCAGAATCGGAATGGCCAACAGAAAGCATCCGAAAATGGCTGGTGGGCAGACCTCACATCGCAGCGAAGATTGTGCTGACCTTGGCATATGCAGTCATCATAATGATATCCCTCTTTGGCAACTCGCTGGTATGCCATGTCTTCCTCAAATACAAAGAAGTCAACAAATCAACAGGCCTTCTGATCTTTAACCTGGCCATATCCGACATCCTGATCATTATATTCAACAGCCCATTTGCTCTGGTGAGTGGCTATATGTGGATGGTTTCAGTTTATAGGGTATTTGCTGCTCCAATCCAAGCAGGGGTGATGAGACTAAGAGGGCTCTAAGTTTGCCTTAAGCCTTACTTCCAGAAACTATCTTTTTATCAAGGCATAAGGAACTTGCATGAGTAATTAACTAACTTCCATTTTACTTCCTTCCACCAGGCACGATTCCTGAGTGGACAGTGGCTGTTTGGCAAGATCATGTGTCATGTGAGTCAGTTTGCTCAGTACTGCTCCCTCCATGTCTCAACCCTGACACTGATGGCTATTGCCATGGACCGACACCGGGTAAGAGCTCTGGAGAGCATTTTAGAACAAAAGGGCAGGGAGTAGGCTATACTCAGGCAGATACCTCCCAAACCTTCAGGATGTAATAGGCTTTGAGGACAGAGAATGTTTACAGAATGACACACAGATACTTCACATTGCCTCCTTCTCTGGACAACGATTTGGAATGTTTAGTAATTTCAGAGACATGAAATTTTATGAATTTTTTTCTGAGTTGTTTTCATTTCAATCGTGTTCAAACCAAAGGAAAGTGAGTGATATTAATAGCACGATTATATTAAGCAGTATAAGCAGGAACACCTTAATCAGTGTTTGCCTATACCAGTAATGCAGAAATGAACTGATGCTGAAATTGTTTTCTCTGTTCCAGATAATTCTGTACCCAATGAAGCCAAGATTAACACACTTTCAAAGCCTGGTGATTGTTGCTGTGATCTGGAGTCTTGCAATGTTACTTGCTCTCCCACACGCGATTTACCAAAAGGTTTTTACTTTCATGAGCGTGTAAGTTTGATTAGTTACTTGACAAATAGTTTTACATTCCTATTTTAAGAGCCCCTCAGGAAGCTGACATTTGAAAAATCCTTATCTATGTTCTTGTCCCTTTATATAATTTTCAATGGAGAATATGAGGCCTCCAGCTCAAAGCTGTAGTGATGAAACAAAGATAATGAGCAACCAGGTTAAAAGCACGTGTGATTAAGAATCTGATCAGCCTTAGTTTGACCACTGCCTGGACTGGTACACTTAACAGACAATAAGTTAATTTACCGCTTAACTGAATTTCAATAAATTAAGACCTAGAATTTGGGAGCAATGAGATTTACTTGGCGATATACTTTGGTGAAAACGGAGCTAGGACTCAGTCCTCTTATGGTTCCTTTCACTGGTGTTATTATCATAACCTACATTCTCTTCTGCTCTAGGGATGGAGTTATCATCAATCACTGCCTCCCTGCTTTTCCTGGTCCAAGCAAGCAGATTGTAAAGTATGTGGATCTTGGTACATTTATTCTGCTGTACATCCTCCCACTGCTGGCGATTGTCACAACCTACTCTCACCTGGGGAAAAGGTTGTGGATTCAAAATGCTGTTGGTGATGGGTCTGCTCGTCAACTTTTGGCGCACCACCAGAAGCGGAAGAAGAGCATCCGAATGCTAATTCTTATTGTGTTGGTCTTTGCAGTATGTTGGTTTCCCCTCAATTGCTATATGCTTCTGATTTCCAGTGCCGATGTAGAAGCCGAGAGTGTGGTTTTCTATGCATTCCACTGGTTTGCTATGAGCAGTACCTGTTACAATCCTTTCATCTACTGCTGGCTCAATAAGAGCTTCCATGCCAAACTCGTATCTATGACATCCTGGTGTGAAAGATGTATGTCATTAGCCAGGCGTTCCCAGGTTCAGCAGCAAGATCAAGTGCAAGAGGTTCATGAGCTCCAGGAGCTCCGGGCTTCTGCCCTGCCGCAGGCACCTCTGGCAATTCCAGAGCCCCAGGTGTTTGAGGATCCTAGTTTGGCTGCTGGGGAGGGGGATTCCCAGATCTCTGTCCCTGGGGATTTGGAACATCCAGATGTTGCCCTGGGTCAAGAGGAACAGGGATGTTCAGCCCAGGATGGTTATTTCTCTATTCAGCTGCAGACTGTCAATGGCTAAAGTGGGCATCCGCACCAGAAGATCACCTTACCCCTTGGGATTTTGTTTAAAGGAGTACCTGGGCATATGTAACTGTTGCATGCCATCTGACAGTATCCCTGAGGCTCAGGTCGCGTTGATCCCATTCTCTGCCCAGGAAAATTAGGCCCACTTCCATAGCCTAGGTGAGATGTTCCAACTCAACATGGTCACAATGAATCAGGTAGAGATGGTGAAGTCCTTAAGCCACATGTAGAGCTCCAACATTTTCCTATCATGGACATCCTGCAGGTCCAGCTGCAGTCCCCTCTGGTTAATGATTCTGAGTACTTGATGGAATCACTGTGCAACTCTAAGGGCTTGGTACTACATTACATCCTGCAGACGTCTGCTAATTTTCCTACCTGTTTTTAGAGATAGGAGAAGTGAGAATGAGATTCCCTAATTAAGACCCAATTTGACTCCAGTTTTGTTCTGCAGTTACCATTAATATTAGGTGATAGCAAGATGGAGTAATCGTGAATGAGAAGGGAATGAATGAAACATCACAGTAGAGGCTTTGATAGCTCTTTTTCAACAATAAAAATATCTTCTTTTTCTTCAATGTACGCCGAGCACCGACATAGTGCTCTAGTATATTGGTTTTCTGCCTCAATCTAGCCTGAAATCAAACATCATTTTAAAGAGCAAGGGCTATTTGTTACCCCGTCTTTTCAAGTGACTCCTTAAACTCATTTTTTTTTGCAGAATTTCTAAAGAGTATTTTCCTACGTTTCAGATTTCCGTCTTATTATCTAGAACCATGAGCTTTTTCATTCAAAGGAGTTCACTGATACCACACTTTACTAGCACGTAGCTGCATAATTGGTCTCTTTCCTCTCTGAATCCCTCATCCTAGTTGGCTGTTTTACTTGACTCACAATTAGTGTTCTTCTCACAATTAGTGATTTAATTGCATGTCAATTAAATCAGCCTTTCGAACTCTACAATTTGTTGCATTTTAAATTGGAATGAAGACATAACCAGGTGCATGTGTGCACACACATTCATACACATTTTACGTTCATGCTGGCGTAAGTGTTTATATACTGCCTATTGTCATCTTTTGTGCTATCCTTGTCCCTGGTGCTCTCTCTTATTTCTACCTGTAATTTCCATGCTAACTGAGCCTAAATATGATTTCATGCCTTAAATTTAAGTCTTAGAGGCTCTAAGATTTTGCTTTTTTTTTTTTTTGCCCCATTATTCAGGGTGTGAGTGTGTGTGTGTGTGTGTGTGTGTGTGTGGTGTTGTTTGGTGGTGGTTCTTCACTTCCCCATTCCCTGAATTGATATTTCTTGATGTGGGAATTCCTTTTTCATTGCTTTTCTGTGCTGCTTCTATTTCTATTCTAATCTATACTTTCTACCCCAATTAGCTCTGCAGTAAAAATGTATATCTTGAATCCAAATGATCTATAATGGTTCTAATATCTGTAGATTTTCCTCACACTTTAAACACTTCAGTTCTTAGTCACATTTTTTGTGAACTTTTTCTGCTCCATCCACTGATTTTACACCTCTATTCTGACATGGACATGCCATATGTAAACATTTAGAAGCATCCTCATAAGGTGCAAAACTGCTTCTCTCTCCTTCCAACATTTCATCCAGGTGCTCACTTCTCCGTATCTGTTTGTTCTGGGCTATTCAATCTTGGGTTTTGGTCATTGCCTAAACCTGAGGATCATCATTTTCTCAATAATTAAGATTTCTCCATTTTCGGTGCTTTTTTCTGATCTAGGTTCTAGCTCTAGCCCTTTTCTCTTTGTAAGCTTTTAAAATTTATTTTCTCCTTTTCTTCCCTTTCCCTCCTTTCTCTTTACTTTCATTCCGTGTCCCTCCCTCCCCCCCCCCCCATTTCCTCCAATCTTTTTTTTTTCTTTTTTCACTTCCCCCTGCTTAGTTAGTGTTAACTATCTTTGGTGTTGGGCTACAAATAATATTACTTCAGTATGAGTGCTTTCTATTTTTCCTGACTTAGATCCCCCTCTTTCAGGCACTGCCATCCATATATACAAACCACTGTGTGCACATGCAGCCAATCACACACTTGAATATTTATTTATTTATTATGCCTCTAGCTCTAGATACCTATCCTGTTTCTGATGTAGAAAAGTTGAGTCAAGAGACATGGAGAGAACTCCTTGAGGAACTTTGGCACTGTGACAGGACACACTTTCTGGGAAGTGTGAAGACACACTTCAAGGGAAGCTGTCTTCATGACAGCATTGGTTACAAGGGTAATGAATGATACTTCTGTTTCAAGAATCTTGTTTGCGACATGCCTTTCCTTCTTGTCATTTAAAATACTTAATGTCACTATACTCATGAATTATTTTGAGCTAAACATCCATCAGAGGGCACCATGCGCAAGGATATTAAGAAAAGTGTGGCAGTTTCCTTGAGGCCTTAGCTTTTCTTAAAGAAAATGTTCCTTCTGGTTAAACTTTTTGCTGTATCTTTAATGGATTAGTTATAGTTTGCTATTTGCTTATAAATCTTGACACTATGGTATGGGCACGGTGAAGTTAAGAATATGAACTGATTTCAGATTTTTTTAGACAGAGAACAGCTTTGTCTCTTCTAACTTTACCCTAAATTTTGGTGACCTTATAGACTTGAGAAAAGACTGGATGGTGCATCACATCCAGTCGCTCTAAATGAAATAATTCTGGTGCACATCCAATTTCTATGATGGAAACACCATCTGAACAATGTAAAAGGCAGTAGTTCTTTGCCTTGATTTAAATATAAAGGCAAGGTGGTAGGTATGATAGAAAAAGGCCAGGACTCAGAATCATGGGACCAGGATTTCTTTTCTAACTCAACCACTTGTATGACCTTGGGCAAGTCATTTGACCTTGTTGTGCCTCAGTTTCCTCATCTGTAAAATGGGGATAATAATACCTACCCATCTTACAGGGTTGTTGTAAGGGTTGTCTGTGAAAGCAGATGACACATTTGGAAGCATTTTAACAGCTCAATGCTTTCTCAAATGCAAGGTATTATTAGCATCATTGTTAATACCTTCATTTTCCTGTCATTTATCTTGTGATAATTGCTATTGGTACTACGTTATTACTATACATATTCTTGCCAATATCATTACTAGTAATGTTGCTACATTCCTTTCCAAATGACCTTTCTTCAGACAAGCTAGAGGACAATGAAGATACATATTCCTTTGAGATATCTTCCTAGGGTAAAAGAGAAGCTTCCAGTGTCCGGGTGACTGAATACAAAACACATGCAGGTGTAGAAAGCCAACATGGGTAAAGACAGACTGCTGAGAAAAAGGACAAGTGCCAAAACAATGGCAAAAGGGCTAGCTGTGAAACGAAGGTTTAAGAAGCATATGCCTAACTCGAGGTGAACATGTTCGTTCGTTAGTTCCCCAGATGAGTTTTCAAGTACTTTTAGCAGTTCTGTCCTCAGGTATGTGTCAGACAGGAAATCAAAGGAGGAAACTTGAAAGGGATTAGATGGTAAAAGTTAGAGCATACATACTGTACATTATTCCTATTCTGTACCCTCATCTTTCTGGTAAGACCTCATTTACCTGTGATTCTATTGAATTCTCTATGTTTTAGATATAATAGTAAAATATTAGATGTGAGTAACAATATTAACTTACGGTGCTCTTCTAATGTGTGCTTAAAGTGTATACTGGTGTTACATTTAACTATCTGTAAAAATAGCTTACAAAGAAACAAACACACACACACAGACACACACACAGACACACACACAAAATAAAACCCTCAACAGTGTCCCCAAAGTGTTATTTGTGTATGCCTACTTACATAAAACATTGACAAGCCCCCGATAATGAGTTCTGATGGTGGATTTTGGAACGGGATACCACCCTTCTGCTCCTCCCATGTAGACTGGCCTTGGTGGAAAACCCAAACCTGAACAGGAACTGCTTCTGAAATGATGTTCTGTTTGAAGACCAACAAATATGTATGGACTATAAACTTTTGAATGTCCAGGTCCAAACTTTCCTCGGGAGCTTTCCCCAGGGTTTCTTCTCAGAGGAGGACAGATAAACAGATTGAAATTAACTGATCCCCTGTGATTATGTGTATCAAATTGTCTTTTATAGTTAAGTGTATCTTGGTAATTTTCAAGTGATTCAAATTGTATCCCTTTGTAAATCCTTTGTGACTGTGTACAAGTTCAATTAAAAATAAAGTTTATCTTGGTGGAGAAATTTTTTTAATCTCATGCTGATGAAACTTATTTCTTCCTTCAGTGAAAAATCCTATGCTACCATAAGCCTCCCAGAAAGCAACTCGGTAACCAATAGCCTGGTAAGGGATACATGGATTTTAGCAGAGTCAGCTTATAAATGAGACTTTATTACCCAAAGCCTCTTGCTGGGATACTTGGATAGGTTGCCTATAAAAATAAAAATTATTTTGAGCATGCAAATACTTTGGGGGTTAAGAATACTCATAAAGTGGAGAGCTAGAGATTGCTTTCTCAAAACAGACACAGAAACGTGGCACAATTACAAATAATGTATTCATAAACCTCTCCCAAGATAAGGCATTATTGATTCTATGCCTGGGAGGACATGGCATAAGGAAAAAGTTGTTAGGAAGAAAAAGCAACTTGTATTGAAAGTAAAAAAAAAAAAAAAAGTTAGTCAAAACATAAGGGTAAGGCCACGCTCTTAAATCCTGAGACTACATGTACAACTTGTTGGAGTAAATCTGATTTCAAGTTAATTTCAATATAATTAACCAACAAATATGGCCTAGGCACTAATCAGTCATGTCAGTCACGGGCTGTGAAGGAATACTAGGGGATCTTAGAGGCCATCTGCAGTTCATGACACGAACACATCAGTTACTGGATAATGCAAATACTGGATAAGTTAGGGAACGGTGTTAATGCTGGTGTTGGGAAGTCAAGGGATAGTGAAACCAAATCTGTTAGCCAATAAGGAAGCATTAACAACTGGTGTTGTCAGAC